CACTTTGCATGTGATGGAGCATGCTGTGTGCTGAGCATATTAGCTAAGCAAAACTAAGCTCTAAGGATGTAGCTCAACTCTTTTTAGTATCTAGGGTCTAAATGTTGATGTGACTATAAGCTCTACAGAGTGACTCTGAGAAGAGCCTCCACAAGAAGTCGAATTAGTCTCTTTTCTGCAGCGTCATCCTGTTCTTCTTGTATTTTTTCTTTGTTTGTTCTTTTTGTCGCTGTGTGGGTGTCTGTTTAATACACTATAATTCTGGCAGCAAAAATCTAATATTTCTGCTTGTTAACACTGGTATTAAAGTTTCTCTGTACTTTAATAGATTCATGATGAGATTTTGATTTTATGGTGAGAACTGCAGTAAAGATTTCTTAGTAATAATCAACACTATGTTTGTTTGTTTTTATTCTAGGTGTCTGTGATTCTGACACTGATGGTACCATACAATGAAATTGATGAGGATGCACCACTGATGGAGATGTTTGCCATGCATGGTTGTATGTTCGCAAAGTACATAGTGGCGGTAGGCTCTATAGCTGGACTGACTGTATCCCTCCTGGGTTCGCTGTTCCCCATGCCCAGGGTCATCTATGCCATGGCAGGAGATGGCCTGCTCTTTAAGTTAGTTCCACAGTACTTGCATTTTTATTTATATGTCAGTCTTAATGATGTTTGCATATGAGTCTCATCTCATCTCTTTTTTATAGGTTTCTGGCCCATGTGTCTTCCTACACAGAGACCCCTGTTGTAGCCTGTGTGGTTTCAGGCTTTCTGGCTTCCTTGCTGTCCCTCCTGGTCAGCCTTAGAGACCTCATAGAGATGATGTCCATAGGAACGCTTTTGGCCTATACCCTGGTGAGTGTTGGATAATAATAATGGAAACATGTACATCATGAAGCTTACTCTCAATATTATTTAGATCAATTTTCTTTAATGAAGTTTTTCCTTCCACATTGAGGGGCATCTGATTGTCTTTACCTTACAATATAAAGTGCCTTGAGGCAACTGTTGCTATTTGGTGCTATATAAAAAAATTTGAATTGAACTGAATTGAATTGAATGCATTTAATATATCTGGATAAAGCCCTTGAGATGTATTTAAGGATGTCTAAACAAACATACTAGCAACAACTGCTAAGCAGAACAATACAAAGCCACAATCTCACTGTATTACACTGCCTTACAGAGATCAATTCACAGTATTTTGTAACCAGGGGGCATCCATAATCCAGCAACAATTGTTTTATAAGAACTAAGTGAAGATGCGTGGCTAAGCTTTCATCTCAAGTCTAAGAAATTTATAGCCTGAAAACAGAAAGATTGTTTTTTCTTCTCCTAAGTAGCTATACATTCGGATTTAACAAAAAAAGCACTGCTCTTTAAAGGAGCTATGAAATACTGCACACAATAACAGATACCTTGCTAGGGAAAATAATCTCTCCAGTGCATGATTTCCTATGATAACAGGATAGCTGTATGTGTTCATAGACAACAAATCTTAACAGAGTCACCAGTATGTACAAGACATGTGGGCATGTGTTTATCAGGCTCTAAAGATTACCTTCTACCCATGGCTGCACAACACTAGTTAGATGGTAAGCAGTGTAACTAAGATAATAATGAGTCACTGATTTATGAACCAGTCAGAGCAAAAACAAAATTCATAATTTTTGTTAATACATTTGAAATAAAATAAAAACTATTTTTGTAAAAACTAATTATTGAGCTGTTTGTTTTGAAATAAAACATTCACACAATTCCTGTGGAATGGGAATGTCACTACTAAAAATGGTTTTGTGATGGAGCTCCTGTTTATAAATGACATGTGTTTTGCAGGTGAGTCTCTGTGTGCTTCTCTTACGCTACCAACCTGAGGGAGACATCCATGGTTTTGTGAACTTTCTCTCTGAGGAGCAGAATAAAAAGAGGAAGGAAGGCGTTCTGGCTGAGTGTGAGAAAGACGCCTGCTCACCAACCAGCGAGGCCGATGAGTATGGCGGTCCGCCCACTAACACCTGCGGAGCCAAAAACCTGCCTTCGCTCGGTGACAATGAGATGCTGATTGGCAAACCAGATAAAAATGCATACACGGCCAATCACCCTAACTATGGTACAGTGGATATGACTACTGGTATTGAAGCAGAAGAATCAGAAGGTGGCCTGTCCCGGCGGTTAAAGAAGCTGATTGGACCACGCTACTATACCTTGAGGATCCGACTGGGCCTACCGGGAAAAATGGATAGACCGACTCCAGCGACGGGGAAAACCGTCACTGTGTGTGTTCTGCTGCTCTTCATCTTCATTTTTGCTTTCTGCTCCTTCATAATTTTTGGTGAGAACAAGTTAACAAACTCACACTCACATCTGTATGATTCAGGCACAGATTGGTCAACAAATAATAAATGCGTTGAACTGAATTGAATGATTAAATTATTTCTTCCTTTCAGGAGCTAGCACTATTGGGGAGGGTCGTTGGTGGGCCTTGCTGCTCTTGATCGTCTTCATCATTATCATTGCCCTACTAGTCATCATCATCCTGCAACAACCAGAGAATCCTAAGCGACTTCCCTACATGGCACCCTGTGTGCCCTTCGTACCTGCTTCAGCCATGCTGGTTAATATCTACCTCATGCTCAAACTATCTGCAATCACCTGGATACGATTTTCAATCTGGTGCCTCGTGGGTAAGTAAATGATGTTTTATTTGTTCGCTTTTAAATTAACTTTAAAACATTCAGAAAGAGAAAAGATAATGCTTTTATTTAGTCAGTTCCACACCTGTCAGTCATGTAGCAGGAACTTAATGAGACTTTTTTTTTTAGTTTTGTCGTGTTTAATCACTATGCAGGTTGGTTGCTAAATTATTTCCATGTTGTATGCATGAAAATAATTCAATATAATTATAGAATGTAATGTATATATGTTTGGCAATGGTTTATATGAAAACTGGCTGCTTCCATCTCAATATAGCAGTGAAACAAAAAAGCCAACCAAAATATTGCACTGTAAGCAATGACTCATGGCAGTTGATACTTAGTGTAACGACTGAGTAATTAAAAATAACTATTTTTTAATTGAAATTTTGTGACCAATAAAAAACAGACTGTGTGTGACTTCTTGTTTGTTTTATTGTGGAAGACCTGGGGCATCTAACTTTCCTTTTCCTTCCTGCCTCAGTTGTATCTATCTGAGCACCTATTTTTGACTTGCCTTTATAGCTGCAAGAGTGAAAGGGAAGGTTTACAAGAAGGTAGTGAGACCTGCTTTGATATGTGGTTTGTAAACAGTGGCACTGACAAAACATCAAGAGCCTAAGATAAAGTGGCAGGGATGAAGATGCTAAGATTTTCTTTGGGAGTGACCAGGATGGACAAGATTAACAATGAGGACATCAGAGGGACAGCTGATGTCGCAATAGCAAGGCTGAAATAGCTTGGGCGTGTACACAGTACATGGTGGGTATACTGGACAAAGGATTTTGAAGATGAAGCTACCAGGCAAGAGGAAAAGAGAAAGACCAAAGACAAGATTCATGGATGTAATGAAGGAGGACAAGTAGATGATTGTTGTTACAGAAAATGATTCTAGGGACAAGGTGAGATGGAGGCAAATGATCTGCTGTGGCAACCCCCAAAGGGAACAGCTGAAAGGAAAAGAAGGAGAGTCCAACAGAGCTTTTAGGTTGATGGAGATTTTCCTTTTCTTTTGTATTTTTATTTAAGCAACTAAAATCATGTCCCAAGGTCTAATAAACATGATCCACTGGATTATGTATGTGTGAAAAATATTAACATGTTCTGTTCTTGTAGGTGTGCTCATATACTTTGGCTATGGCATGTGGAATAGTACTCTGGAAATCACAGCCAGAGAGAATGAGGTGCATGCTTCCACCTACCAGCGCTACGATCAAGGTGTTGACGAAGGCTTCTGCGGCTTCGAAGATGATTTCTACCCACCTACCACTGACGCCTGGGGTGCGCCAGACGGGGCATCAGGGCTAACCTCGCCCCCTGTGGCAAAACCTGAAAATGATGGGATGCCATCGAAAAGTGGAGGCAGAACCATTGCCAATCATGGCCTCGCGGAGGAGGATCCAATGGATTTCTAAGGGACTGACTCTGCGTTACCCTGAATGTACTGCCTTGTCTGCTGCCTGGGGGATGGGAGGGGAAGAATATGTGAGTGCACGAATGACTCTGTATGTGTGTGTGTGTGTGCGTGTACATGCCAGCATGTGTGTTTTTTTGTGTGTCCAACTCTTGGGCTAGATTGTTTGTTGGCAGTGGAACTGCTTTTCTATCACTTTATTCCACCGTGCCTGGCTCCCCCGCTTCCACAGAAATTTCGATGTCAAGGTTGTGAGTGTCTTGACTCATTTGCTTGTTATTACTTACTGGAATCCACATGCCACACAAAGAAAGGCCAGACAGAAAAAGTGCAGATGTAGCAAGAGATAAAATATAATGTGGCTCTTTGAACTCTGAACCAAATGAGACTGTCTGTTAAGCAATTTTTTTAACTGTTTATTTCTCAGAATTACGAGATACAATAGAGGAGAAAGCAACGAGATGGGGCAGATGAATCAGCATGTCCCATCCTGTTTTAACAGACAGGCAGGAAGGTTAGATGACAGCACGGCAAGCCCAAATGACTTCCTGTGGACAGCTCTGGTTTTCTCCGTTCATTCGGAATTTTCAACAGAAAGAAAAAGTCCCGTGCATACCCTCAAAATAATAATAAAAAAACGTTAACCCTCAGTGTTATTTCTTGCTTTAAATGTTTCCCTGACCCCAAACATCTAGCCCAAGTGATTCTGAGGTGAATGTGGGAAAGGGTGTCGATGTTTTCTGTCACAAATATTACTTGGACTTTGCTTGCAATAGTGCCTTCATCTACTGTATGTGTACGTGAGTTTCTGATTATGTCGGTTTTCTACTTTAATTTTGCCTGCGTGTGTATTTGAGGGTGTACTGCATGTACACTCAAAATCCACCTTTACATGGGTTATTATATTTGTGTTCGTATAAAGTGTGTTCTTCAGATTGTTTTACTCTGTATGTATAGATATATTTTCCCACTCTTCCCCAGCATGAAGCTCAGCGTGAATTCACTTGCAACAAATCAACTCATCAGTATATTGGAAAATAGGAGAGAGTAGTCAATATAAAAGCAAAAGAGAATGAGCTGAATCCTAACTGGTAACCACTATGGTTACTCTGAAGAAAGTCATATTTTCTCCTAATTTTGTTTGCATGATAAGTTTACGATTTTATTTAAAATTCATTCAGAATGTTTTTTGACTTATGATCATCTGTTCTTTTTGCTTTCTTTTTTACCAAATGAAATGAAATCTAATCCTTCCTCTTCCTCCTTTCCTTTGCTTTTCTTTCTTCAATTCCTTCTTCTTCTTTGCATTTTATAATGTTCCACAATTCCAAACCAACTCTACCTTCCTCTCTCTGCCACCTCACCCTCGTCTTGATATCCATCGGGCCATGTCATCCACTTTAAGCCACAAGTGATAGAGCCAGGATTGGTTTTCAATCAGGATTTGTAACAGCAATCTGTTCATGGCCTGTCGATCTATTAGCTCCTGTTTCGCTTAAGGGTGTCCGCTATCGCTTTTCTGATTTGTCACTGGAGCATTTACTACACTCCCTGTGGTCCTGCTCCCACTTAGGCTCAAGCTGGTATGAGTGAACCTCACTATTTGGCCCTACTTTGTTTTTAAAGCATGTAGCTTGTGCTGAAGTCCCACTCTTCATATGGTACCCACATCGATGGTGCACTCTGAAGAGCTTGTGAAAATCAGCTGGATCAGATAATGAGCCGGTGTGGTTTAATATGTAGGACAAGTAAGCTACAGCCAAGGTTAGGGGTTGGATTTCATAATTA